CAGGGCCCCTGCGGTGGGGACCCAGGACTCCCTTCCGCATTTCGCCCCTCCCTAGTGTTTTCCTGGGAACATGGTGGGCAGAGTACTTGGGCAGAGAAGCAGACAGGATGGCTGGGTCGCTGTCAAATAGGTTCTGCAGCATGTGCTTCAGGAGCCTGGGTCTGTGGATGGATGGGTCCTGGCCACCCCCTTCCCCCGGGCCCTGGTGCCACCCCACAGCTGTAGCTTCTCTGCGCTTCAGGCAAGCCCTGGCTGGAGTCCAAGGCTGGACTCGGGGCCCTGGAGTACTTCTAGAAAGACAGCTGGGTCTCAAGGACCCAGGGATGCAGCATCAGCTGGGGAGTGCCATAGGGTGGGACGCCTCTCACAGCTCACTCAGTGCTGATGTGTCCTGCTGAGTCCCAGGTCCCAGGTGCCCTATCCAGCGCTGGCCCAGGGTCTGTCAGGCATCCTGGGTCCACCAGGCTCCCTCTGGCCCTGGTGACCAGGGCATGAGCTCGGCTGACCAGGCTGTCTGGCCTGCTGGTCCTGTGTCAGCATGTGACCCCAGGGCTCCAGGGCCAAGCACCTCAGAAGCTCTCCCGGGCCTGGAGCTGCCTGCCCTGTGCCAGGGCCAGGGCCAGATTGGTGGTTGCAGTGGGAGCTGTGGCCCCTTGTCACTGCCAACAGTCAGGCAGGGCCACAGAGCTCTGTACAGCACAGCACTGCCAGATTTAGCAAATGAAGATACAGGTGAAATTGGGATTTCCATGAAACAAGGAATTAAATTTTGGTATGCTTATCCCTGCTGATGTGAGACAAACTCGACTAGAAAAGTATTAATTATTTGAAGTTTGAATCTAATGGGGTGTCCTGCATCTTCCAGGCCTCCCCGTGAACCTCCACAGCCCACCCAGGCCAGGTTCCCTCTTGTTTTAGGAGCATACTCTCCTGGACCGGACTGGGACCTGCTCGGAAAGTCTCACAACCATTTCAAGAGAGGAACCAGATTGTTTAAAAAGAAGAGCCATACGCAATAGCTTTGGGATTTTCTAGATTCCGGAAGTACTACTAATGCTGCTACCACTGCTGCTAATGACTTCTTAGAACACTACCCCAAGACAGATTTTCTTTTAACACTGCCAGTTGCTGAAGAAACTTATTACAAGATTATCCAAGTACATATGGACTAGAAAAGTGTTTCACGTATTTCAACTTGATTTTGTCTTTATGTTGAAAAGCTGTCATCCAAAACCTGATCTCTGTGAGATGAAAGAGCATTCTGTCCCCAACTTTTGATAGCTCATAGAAAAGGAACCAGAATTTTCTCGTGATTGAACAACTTTATAAGTAAAATTGTGTTGATATCTGAAAAAAAAAAGAAAAAGAAAAAGAAGAGCCATATGCTTAAACATGTTAGCTTTCAGACTTTAAGTGGCCCGGCTTGTGACCTGGGGCAGGGGCTTTTCTTTGACCATCTATTTTTAGCCCTGAACAGGACTGGGGCCCAGCAGTGCCGGCCTTGAGCATGGCGCCCTCTGGAGCCCACTCTCAGTAATGCGTGGACCTGAAGCCCTTTTCTGGTTCCTCAGAACCTAGAGCAGGGGGAACCCAGAGGGCACCCCACCAGGTCTTCCAGATTTCCACTGCAGCTCTTGTCCCTTAAAGTTGTCACATCACATCTGATTTGACCATTTTCAGTGGGTCTTTACAACCAAAAGTCTTTTCATCTTCGTCAGATGTCATGATATTTGACTAAGTTATTTGATTAAAATAGCAAATATGGTGGAAACCTGAGGGCTTGAGAACAGATAACATTAGGAGACGTCCCTTCCCTGGAGGGAGTAGGGCAGTGCTTCCCAAGGGACCTACGTCACTTCTTTCAGGGGGAAATGGGGACAGAGGTTCACGCTGGGCAGAGTGGAGGCTGTTGGTTGGCACTGTGTGTCCTGTGACCCAGCAGGGACAGCAGGGTAAGGCTGAAAGGGACTCTGGGCTTTAGCCCTAGCTCACTGGGTGAAGGCGGACAGATGCTCTGCCCACTGTGTGTCCAGACCGCACACTTCTGGGCCTTGCCCACCGAGCCAGGAGCCCAGGAACACAGCAGGGCGGGATGGCATTGTCGCCTGCGGGATGGAGGACACTGGACAGAGTGTGGAGCTGGGAAACCGAGGCAGTGGTGAAGACTGCAGAAGCTTGTGCCCAGCAGCGCAGGAGGTGGAGGCAGCAAGCGAGGCCCCAGCGCGGATGCAGGGCATGGTCCAAGGGCAGGAGGGGAGCTCTCCCAGCTTCAGCTGAGGCTCTATGGAGGCTGCACCGTGGGAGCAGCATGGACTTGTCCACAGCACATCAAGGCAGGTGACCATGGGGAGGAGGGATGGAAGCTGCTGTGCTTGGGAGTGGTGTCTCTGAGGACCTGTGGCCTTGGGACTTTAAACCACGAGGAAACGTCTGTGCTTGTGTTGGGAGAGCTCAGAGAGCAGGAGCAGGAGTCCTGGAGCTCAGAGGGGCAGGACAGGCTCTTGGGGCACAGGCCTGGCCGGCTGCCCCACTCAATGACACAGTGGCAGGCCATGCCTGTGTCCCGAGGTGGCCAGCAGGGGGCGCCAGAGAACAACTAATCGCCCAATGCTGAGGCTGCCTGCAGCCACCTTTTCTCTCCGTCAGGAGAGGCCACAGGACTGCCTCTGTCCACGGGGACTGGCCTTGTGCACTGCAGTGTCTCCCCATCCCAGACAGGTGGCCCTCCCCAGGCCAGTGATGCATCCACAGGGTCCCAAGGGCTGGAGAGCAGGGACTGACCCCAAGCAGTGGTGACCAGCCAGGCTTCAGAGCAGTCACGGACGGGTGTCAAACCCACCAGTGCCTGGGTCTTCTCTGGCCCATTATGTTAGAATCCCACACGGGAGGCTGAACAACCACCTTATTTAGAGGTGCCCAGGTGGTTCAAATGTGCACTATGGTAAAGGCCACAAACTGGCCTGCCCGGCTCAGCATGCCAGGAAATGTGTTGGGAATGCAGATTCCAGAGCCCACTGCAGCTTTTGAGGCAGAACTCTGGGGGCTTGTAGAGATCTGCATTGTACCAGGGGCTCCAGGCGCTTCCTGCCCAGATGAGGCTGAAACCCTGCCTAGCTTGGCTGCCCAGGCCTGGCCCCCGCCCATGAACAGGAGCCTGCATTTTAACGGGGTCCCTGGTGGTTCTTAAGGCTGGAGAATGGTGGGAGCCCTCAGCTACACGGATGCTTAACCTCTGGGGCCTTCCGGGTGGGCTGCAGGGGAGGAGGTGACAGAGGGACGGACGATGGGGCAAAGGTGCATCCTGCAGGCGGGGCCTAGGGAGCCCCAGTCCAGGCCAGCGCGTGGCCTGAGGGATGCAGGTGGAGAGAAAGTGCATAGTAGCCATGAGGGTCCTTGTGGTCCACTCAGCTGGGCAAGCAGTGAGCGCTAACAGGAGCTGCTGGTGGGGCTGGGCTATTCTTAGGGTTTCTTTTCTTTGCATAAAAGTAATAAATTACGGAAAACACACACACAGAGGAAAAGAAGGCAAATATACCCAACACTCAATACCATTGCTGTTATTGCTCCGAGACCTTCTCTAGGTAGTCTTTTATGAGGAAAATAGTTATGAAGGTACAGAACGTGTCATGGCATGAGACTTCCTAACATCACAGGTGCATATCCATCACCTTAGACCTGTGGCCGTCAGCTGTGGCCTGGGGCCATGTGTGGCCCATGCTGGGAGCTCCTGCCAGTCCCTCCAGGCTCTGCCAGTCCCTGCCCTCTGCAGATCTCCTCTGTGGCCACCGCTGTGATAAACAGTGGCCATGGGCTCTGACTGCGCTCTCCTAGTAAATCATGGGCTGGGGTGGTCCTGGGGACCCCAAAACAGCTGCTCTCAAAGAAGCCACAGGGACCAGATTTCTGGAAATGAAGATCTGAGTCCAGTGTGGTAGGTGGCTACCTTATAATGCAACTTGAATGCGCACTTTCTTGGGCTTTTGGTTAAATTTAGAGCACTGTTTGGGAAAGAATGAGTCCTTACACACTGGGGAGATTAGGATAAAGCAGGGGACCCTGATCTCAGGGCACATGGGTGAGGAGTTTCCTGGCTTCCTTGAAGAGCCCTGGAAAGCAGGAGTGACAACAGTCACTGTGGAGTTGGCACATTCAGTGGGGTGTCAGGACCTCAAGGGCAGGGTCACCAGGCCACACTTACCCGGATAGACAGGCGGTACGGTCATGCAGGTGCAGAGGCTGACCTGGAGGGGCTCCAGGGGCTGGGACCCTGTCCTGGACTGTGACAGACTTCAGGAGCCTGTGTGAGCTGGGGGCCTTTGGTCTCGAGACAGACTCCAGCTGACCCACACTCCCTGCCTGCGACTTGGCTCAGCAGGTATCCTGTGGGCTCAGCCCGACCAGGGGCTGCAGTGGCTTCCCTGGGGATCCCTGTGTGCTTGTCACCTGAGGCAGCTCTGGGTTACTGGGTCCCTCTCTGGCCCCAATATCAGACCCAGAAATTCTCTCCTGGAGGAGGATAGCTGGGTTTGTTTCAAGCACAGACACTGAATTCAGTCCTGAGGGTTTCAGCCCTGGCCTGTGCGGAGATGTGTTTTTCTTGACTAGCTCTTTGGATTCTGTGAGTCTGCTGGCGAGCAGGGTGACAGAAGCCCACAGGGATTGGGCTGGGGATGAAATATTCAGTCTGATGGCTCAGGCGGGCAATGCTTCCTTCCTGGTCCTTGGTGTTCCTATAAAGGGCAGCCTCAGAGCTGGCAGCAGCGCCTGCAAGCTGGACAGCCAGGCTGAGCGACTGTCGTGAGGTCACGGGCACATAGAGAGCGAAGTCTCTTAAGGCACTGGCAGTAAGTATGGTTGGTGGGGCGTGGGTGTCCCTCAGATACAGAGGGAAGCTGCTGGCGCACTGACCTTCCAAGAGTCACCCGCTGGGGCAGGCAGAAGGCTGGCTGGGGTCGGGTGTTCTCAGCCCTCTGGGTCCCCACTGCAGGTGGACCCAAACACACTGCACCTGGGGAAGATGCAGGCCCGCATGGTTCTGCGGCTGGCCCTGTGCCTCCTGCTGGGGTCGCTCACAGGTGAGGGGCCGCCCCGTCCCCACAGCCCTGCTGCCCTCCTCCCTGCTGCAGAGTCGGGCCAGGCCTCCAGGGCAGTCCCAGGTGACAGCGCTCCCCTTCTCTTGCAGGGGCCAAGCCAGTGCAGGAGGAAGGTAAGGTTTATGAACGAGGCAGGCAGGGCTGGGGCAGAGGCTGCTGGGAGGTGGGCCTGGCTGCCTGCTGAGCTGTGCCTGCTGGGAGCCGAGGAGTGGGGGCAGCCCTGACATCCTCAGCCCCGGGCTCTCCCAGGAGTCCTAACTTGGTCCAGTATCACTGGGGTGGCCATTGTCCAAGTTCTAGGTCTCTGTCCTCTGAAACCCCACCCGGATGCTGCCCTAGCGCCCCCGTGCCCTCCCCAGGACCGTGTCCCTGCTCAGCAACTCCTCGGCAAGGCCCGGCCTCCTCCTTCTCTCGTCCTTCCTTTGTTCCTCCTGTCCTGCTCCTGTCTCTCAGGACACTGCTTCTCTCTGTTCTGGGGACGACCCCAGATGCCCCTTCTCTGAGCCCGGAAGGTCGCATTCCCACAGGCACTGCTGGCTGCCACGCACCTGCCCCCAGTCCGTTGAGGCCCAGCTCTGGGTAGGACGGCGGGGCAGCCCCTGTGTCTTCCAGGCCCCTACGCTGAGCTGCCGGCTATGCCCTACTGGCCTTTCTCCACCTCCGACTTCTGGAACTACGTGCAGTACTTCCAGGCCCAGGACGCCTACCCGCAGGTGGAGGACCTGGCCCGCACCTTCTTTGCACACTTTCCCCTGGGGAGCACCCTGGGCTTCCATGTCCCCTACCAGGAGGACTGAGTGGCACTGGCCGCACCTCAGGGCAGGTCTGGAGTTGCCAGAGCTGCTCACAGGGCGACCGGCCTCTGCCCAAAAGGCTCCAGCAGACCTTATGGGTTTCTTTCAAAACCAGCTGTGCCCAGCCCCTCTGCTACTTCACAGATGACCCTGGCTTTATTCCAGTCGCTGGCGAATACTCTTCAATAAATGTGTGCAGTTTCAGCCCACAGGGCATCAACAACGCCTCTCACCCTGTTCTCATGATGTCCCCGGGGGGCCGGGCTGAAGTTCCCCAGATTGTAGGAAGGAAACTGAGGCTGACTAGCCGTGGCCACCGCAGCTGGTTAGAGGAGCCAGTGCCGGTCCAGGCAGCATGGCCCAAGGCCACGGAAGTGGACAGTAGTCACCTCGGGGCAGGCATCCATGCTTCACGCACAGCTCACATCTGGGAGCAGCAGGAGGTGAGGAAGGCAGGGCCCAGGCTGTCACCCGGGCAGTCCTGCAGGAGGGAGGGAAGGACGTGTGCTGGGGCCGGCTTCTGTGCAGGCGGTGAGCCCCCACCCCACAGGGTGAGCAAGCGACTGGGCACTGGAGACCCTGACTCACACCTGCTGTGGAAGAAAGCCAATGGGTGGCTCTTCTGGGCCACCAGCCTGCCGGTGCCCTTGGCCTGACCTCTTTCGGTGCCCCAGGTGACATGCACTGAGCTGGCCTCCGAGACTCCCCCAGGTCTTCACTGCTCTCTTCTCTCCGCACCCTGCACCGCCCTCTCAGGCTGGGCTGACTTTCAGTTGGTTCCCGGGAGCAACCCTGCCCCTCAGCACCCCTCTCCCCTTTCAGCAGCCCCGCCCCAAGCTTACCTCCTTCTGAAAGCTGTTACAGAAAACATGGCACAAGGACACTGAAGAGCAGGATCAGGAACTCTATGCAGGACCACTAGGATAGGCACAGGGACTATCTCAATGTGATGTGGGGGAGCCTCAATGACTAAGGGCAACATGGCGGCGAGGCGGTGGTCCTGAGAAGCCAGCCTGCAGGACCCTTGCCGGTGGCAGGCCAGGGTGTTGGACATCATCCGGGCATGTGGCGGCGATCTGATCTCCGTAAGGGCTCTGGCAATGCTGGATCTTCCAAGGCGAGGCACCTAGCCTTGGCTCACAGCCCTGACCACAGTCCCATTAACCAGGAAGCGTTTGTCTCAGGCTCGGTCTCTCCTCCACTCTTCTCACCTCTTTTTCTTTTCTTCCCCTTTCTTATTCATATTTTAAAAATTACTGTGAAATATTACAACATAAAATTTCCCCTTTAACCTCAATATTTAGGTGGCATTAAGCACATTACCTTGTGCAACCACCACCCCATCTCCAGAACGGAGACTCTGACAACACTACCTGCTAAGCCATGAGACTCTAACCCCCAAGCCCTTGCCCCGGCACCACCCTGCGCCTAGGGAGCTCTCTGAACTGGCTACTCTGGGTAGGGAGCTCCTCCCCGTCGGATCACAGTCTGGTCTCGCGGGGGCCGACCTCTTTCACTGAGCATAATGTCCCCCAGAGCCCCTCTGTTCTGCCCACGCGTCAGGATTTCCGTACCACGGAAGCCTCGGCAGTGTCGCAGGACGTGCACGGACACTTGTTTATCCACCCACCCACCCACTGGTGGGCACGGGGCGTTCGCACCCTTCGGCTGCTGGGAACTGCGAGCCTGGGTGCACCAGCACCTCCTCCAGACCCTGTTTTCCATTCTTTTGGGGTGGTCCAGAAGTGGGGTGCTTTCCCGAGGTTGTGACCTAGCCACCCTCTCCGGACTCCGCCGCTCCCTGGGTTAGGGACAGCAGCGGTCGCCTCAGCACCGAGGCACAGAGCCGAGCTGACGCGCAGTCCTAGTCCCCGGCCGGGAACCACCGAGTCGCGGTCCTCCGAGGCCTAAACCTGTCCGGCGGGCGAGCGCCGGAAGCGATGTCGCGAGCCGGAAGTGATATAGAGCTGCGGGTCCACAATGAAGCCGGCTGTGGACGAGATGTTCCCTGAGGGTGCCGGGCCCTACGTGGACCTGGACGAGGTGAGGCAGCAGCGGGCGGCGGCCGCGCGAAGAGTGGGGCGAGGGCGGCTTCGGGGCCGGGCCCGCGCGCCAAGCCTGGGGGCCTGGCGCCCTACACCCACCCCGGAGCCCCGGTCCCCGCTGCGCGACCTCGGGGACTGCTGGGCCGCCAGCGCGTCGGATACCAGCGGGGGCCACGACCTCGACCTCTACCTCGACCTCGACCTGAGTGGCCGCGTCCCGATCCCCGCGGTAGCGGAGGAGGCGCTGCGGGTCTCCGGCAGGCGAGGGTAGCGAAACCTTCGCAGGGTTGAGCTTGCGTTGGGTGGCTTGGGAGGGACGTGGGCTCTGCTCCCGAGAGGCTGCTGTTCGGCAGCGGGCAGCGCTCTGATCGGGCCGCCTGATAAACTTTATCCAGAACGAGGAACAAACTGGGAAAGAAGCAGCGCCAGCATCTTTCTTCTTAGAATGGAAAAGGGCTTCTTGGCAGTTATGTGCTTTCGCCGTGATCTGGTTCCTTTCTGTAAGGGTGTACAGGATCCTGAAATAGTCTTGGTTCTCTCGTTTCATCCAGCACAGTCACAGACCGACCCTGACGTATGCGGGTGTTCTGCACGATGGTCTAGGTTCGGCAGGAGGATACCACAGCCTAGCTGGGACTGTCAGGGCAACTCTGGGACGTCAGAGCTCCACATTCTCTTTTTCAAAGTTTAAGGGGTACAAAGATGGTCACTTGCAGTCCCTGTCCTTAGGCAGGTTGGGAATGGCTGAGAGAGACTGATTGCACCTACCAAGTGTAGTAGAAAAGTAGGGGTTCCCTGCGGAGGCACCTTCAGGGCTGTGGGTGGCTCAGCCTGGGGTTAGGAGAGGAGCTGCCTCTGCAGCCAGATGCTGAATTGTGTGCTAGTGTTGCTATGTGAACAAGGATGAAGGAAGAAACTCTGGCAGGAGCTGAGCCCTGCAGGGGTGATGCGCCCCAGGCCCACTAAGGTAGTGCCATGCAATTCAGCACGGCAGAGCTCACAGTGCTAGAGAGAGGGGAGGAACCTGATCTTGAAGTAGTGTAAAATGGTTGGGTTCTGTGGGTCCCACCCTTGAAGCACTTGCCTTAAGCCCCAGCTTCTCAGTTCTGTTTTAAAGTCCCTGAGGTAGGCAGGGTGGAATCACATGAGGAGAGACGCTATATTTGCTATGTAGGATGGTCACTTGGGAGGTTTGGAGGGGGATTGGGGTGAAAGACTAGAAAAAGGGAAGTGGAGAGAAAGGAGACCTGAGGATCTGAGTGAGTCAGCTTGAGTAGGGAGGAATTCAAGCCAGGATTTAAGTGAGAGAGTCTGTGTGGCCTCCTGTGGGGATGGAGGTGGGGAGGAGTCCAAGAATCCTGAGGTCAGCAACGAAAGGGAACACAGGAGGTGCTGGCTACTTGGGAACCAGAGAAGGGGGGAGGGGGCCAGGGCAGAAGCAAGGGCCTGTGGCCAGCTGACCAGGGTGCTGCCACTGGAGGACTGGTCCTGCCACCCCTGGTTGATTCTAAGCACGGTGCAAAGTTTGAGTGCATAGGATCACCCAGCTTTGGTCACGGCCTGATTTTGCCACCACTGTAGAGTTTTGGCAGTGGAAGGTTCCATTATGGCAGTACTTCCTACCCCAAACCTTAGGGCCAGGGCAGGCCAGGTTTCTGAGGGAAATGGTTGTATTCTTGGAGTGAAGGCGGGTCGGTAGGCAGAGCAGAGCAATCATGCTGGGTGCTGCACGTTTGTGGCCTCTGTGGCTGTGCCAGGAGGGAGTTGGAGATCTCTACTGGAGACCTTGAGAGGCCTTAAAAACAATTCCTTTGAATCCTCCTTCACACACACCCCTCTGTCTGGAGCTAAAATCTGACTCCATCTGGAGTGTGTCCTCTTTTGTGGAGGTGGGGTGGATGCAGTGATGAATTTACCCCCTGCTCCCAGAAATCACAGCTGATGTAACCTTGCCTTTCACTGTGCAGGCAGGAGGCAGCACCGGGCTCTTGATGGACTTGGCGGCCAATGAAAAGGCAGTTCATGCAGACTTTTTTAATGGTAAGGATTCAGGGACTTGGGGTGCCAGGTTCAGTCTGACAGTTTCTTCTGCAGGTTGATGTAGTGGGGCAACTGTGTGACACGAATAATTTGGATCACAGCACAGTGAAGCCCAGACCCTGTGCTTGTTCTCAGTGCAGTGACTGACACTGGCAGTTAGCTCTGGCAGTCAGCCCTATTTTTCCAAGAGAAAATTAATATGAAATTGCTCCCTGTCTCACGTTTCAGAGGTTGTGCTTGAGCACTGCTTTAGCACAAGCTCACGGACACCTGAGGTTATGGCAGGATCCTGTCCATCCTGTCACCCCAGATCTGGGTGTAGGAATCAGCCTTGGCTCTCTGGTCTGCTCTCTCTTGATGGTTGCTTTTGTTTCCTTTCCTTACCTGGCCCACACCTGTTTGCCCAGCTGGATTCTTGTGCCTCCACTGTCTTTGCAGGCTGACATCCACACCCTGGCTTTCACCCTTCCCCATTTCTGAAGTCAAGATGCAGGATATACTTCCATCTCAAATTTAAGGGCTTTCACACCAAATACCAAGAATGTGGGAGAAATTTTACTCAATAAACAGTGTAAACCTGACTTTTATATACATCCTCAGACATGGTAGGGCATATTTCTCTTGGCTTTCTGATTTCTGAATGCCTTACTCTTACAGGTTATTTAACCCTCACTTCCTTACTTAGGGTTCAAACAGTAAATGGAAACACTGGATGTTTCCTACTCAGACAAAAATGGTGTTTTCCTCCCTTTTCTGTCCTGCTTTAATCACATGGTGCTTTCTCGTACAAAGAACTTTTGTTACTTGTTAGAAGAAGCTGGGGTGAGATCTTGCCACATTGATTTCTAACTTACCAAACAGCTCTGAAACCCCAGGTCCACGCTGGTTTGTCTGGCTAGTGCCTAGGCAGCCGTTGTCCCAGAAGAGAAGCCAGGCTGCTAAATTAGAGTGTGGTCTTTCCTGGGGCCCGGCTACTCCTTTAAGGTAACATCCCGGCTGACACCATCTGGTGTCAGAAGCAGGGGGAGGTGACACTGGAGCCAGCCCTTGAGAGCTGAGCAGCCTTTCTGTAAATTGTATGCTAGCAGATAGTGCAGAGGTGCGGAGTGCGCTCCAATGCTCCTTTATGAGAGCAGCAGCTCATGCAGGGCATCTTGGGAGATGCCTTACCAGCATGGTTGTTTCGTTCTCAGTGCTGGCACTGGGGTCTCGTACATTTTGATGATCTTCAAAGTCCCATTTGTCCTCTGCCGGCCTGTTGGATTAGTTGTGATCAGTGGTGTTCCAGTGAGAGCCCTCTCCTGACGAGAAAGGTCTCTGAGGGAGACCCAGCCGTTAGCAACATGAGCTCTCCCTGTGAGCCACGCTGGCAGGGAGGAACAGAGAAGGCCTTGCCCCACCCCTGCTTGCCCACTGAGCTCAGGAGCATGTGCCCACCCTCCCACAGGCTGTGCCCACCTTGGGCACTCAGGAAGCAGAGAGAGGCCTCTGTGGGCTTTGCCTGGGGCTTCCAGTAGTCCTTTTGGTTCCTAGACAGATGAGCTGGAGGCTGGGCATGGGGTTCTAACGCTGAGTTCGACTTACTCTCTTTCATTGCTGTTTTATGAAGTAGTGGAGGATTTAGGCAAGGCCTCAGGCAGGGCCAAGACCACGAGTGCCGACAGGCGGGGTGGGATTGTGCCTGGAGCACATCACAGGGTGGCGTTTCTGGAGGTGACAGGAGCAGAGGTTAGGGTGTGAAGGGATTCTCTGGGGATGGGGACCAGATGGAAAGTGCCCAGCGCAGCTGTACCACATGTAGGGGCCAGGAGGCAGCAAGGACACGGAACAGTCCCTCCGTGTGGCCGGACATGTGTTAGGGACGCTGCCCTTCTCTGGGAAAGCCGGGTGTGGGGCTGCTGGAGGCTCCTGCCCCTTTGCTGTGTGGTATCACCAGCAGGTGGGACTTCTGCACATTTTCAGTGCACTGCCCCGAGGGGTGGGCCTCGCTTGTTCTTTGCCCATCATGGAAGTAACATGTGGTCAGGACCTTGGAAGATGAGTGGAGATAAACAGACCACAGTGGCCGTGGCTGTGGCCATGGAGTGACTCAGTGCCGCGCATCGTGTTTGCCACACATGTTTCAGCAGGAAAGGCTTAGTTTGTGGTCAGAAGCTCGGCTTGGCCAAGCCTCCTGCAGAGTCGTTCTCAGCAGCTCGGTCCTTCTGCCACCTTCTCCAGGCCCCCCGCCCCCAGACTCACTCTCACAGTGCTCGGCGTGGCTGTGAGGTGCTTGTCCCTGTGTCCACGGCACCCAGTGTGCTTTTCCCGAGGGTTGTCTTGTGAATAAAAAATATGAACAACACTGTGCCCTTGAGCGCCTTCTGGGAGCCCTCGTTGGATGAAGCTGGGAGGGTCATGGGAGGGTCCTTTTCCTGCTACATTGAGTACTGTTTTCTCTGTCTTGTGAACTACCGTGTAATTCATTGTGAAGTGGTTTCCACAGTCACTTGCCCTGTGCCTGTTAATACGTGATTCTGTCTGTAGATTTTGAAGATCTCTTTGATGATGATGATGTCCAGTGAGACCCGGCCAGCCATATACCCGGCCTCACATGGCACGCCAGTCGGTGTAGAGGACAGTGGCGAATGGCATAGAGGCCTGTGGACATCACTGGAAGTTAGGACCGGGACCACCGAGGAAATGAGGGAGAACCTCCCGGAACCACCTGGATGTGCTGTTAGCTCTGATGGACCGGCCTTTGTCCTTACTTCAAGTAAAATAAATACACAGGGTAATTTTAATTTGTTGCACTTCTGGGTGAGTGTTCTAATCCCCAAAAGCGTGTGTGCACGTCAGCACGCACAGAGCCATGCCTCAGTATAGTGAGCACCTGCCGTGCTGTTTTCCGGAAGCAGCTTTGGGTGACTGGCATGCTCAGGTGTCCCCCGCAACCCCCTGAAGACCTGGCCGGTCCTGCCCACCCCGAGCAGGCTGGGACTCACTGCCCTGCACTCAGAGTGGGCCTCGTTGGAGCACTGTCACCGAGCCACGGCCTGAAGAGTTAGGCTGTCTGAGTACTGACTCTGAAAGGGAAGCTTTTACATGAGAGGTGTATGTGTTGGTCCATTTCAAAGAAGAGGGTAACATCTGTGAGGGAAAAGGTTTTATCTTTATTAGCCAGGTAAGTGATAATGACTCTTAAAAAAAAAGTGAAGATTCCTGCCACATGTGTTGGTGCATGCCTGCAGTCCCAGTATTCAGGAGCCCGAGGCGAGAGGATTGTGGTAAGTTCAAGGCCTGGGCTACCCAGTGAATTCAAGCCTGGCCTCAACTACACAGCGAGACCCTATCTTGAAAAAAAGAAGATTACTATTTCATATCATCCTGACAGTGAAGACTGTTCCTTAGCCCAGGGCCTTCCCAGGCTTGGCTTCTCATGGCTAAGGAAGGAGTTGGGTCTGAGATGCCTTCTGGTTCTTGGCTTTCTGGTTGTCAGCAGGAAGGAATAACTCTTCAAGGTGAAGCAAGGAAGGCTGCTGTACAGCAACTCAGTGGCATTGTGGGCTTGGTGAGGACCTGATGTGTCCCTGTAGACCGAGGCTGTGAACCTTAGAAGGTTCTCTGTTGGCCTGAGGATTTTGAACTTGGCCAGTCCAAGCAGCTTCAAGAGTGGTGGTATGCACATCTGTGTGTGTGGGTGTGGGTGTCCTATGCATGACTAGCTCTATGATGCCTCTCTTTGCCTTCGCACAATCCTTGCAGCTTCCTCAAAACCATGAGGCCAAGAATTCCCACTTTTTTCCTTCCTCATAGTTGTACTGTCAGGAAGGGTCAACACTGTGAAAGTGTCTTTGACTGGATGTCCTGTCTGCTGATGCGTGTTTTCCCCAGTGTCACACCGTCCTCCCAGGGAGCTGCCTTCTATGGAGAGCACTTGGGGAAGGGCTCTGATTGGTGTCGTTCTGTCTGATTCCACCCTCTGGCCAATCAGCAGCTGTGCTGCTTGCCAGTGACAGCTTCCACCCAACATCTGGAAGGAGCTTCTGTGGGGGCAGGGGAGCAGAGGGTGACCCCCACACAATAGCAGGAATGACTCGTTTGGAGAATAGTTTCTGCTAACATTAAAGGTTTTGAGGGGTCCTTGTTAAGCTTACCCTTAGAAGTGAGCACTCTAATGGAAGCCAGCCCTTTCTGAGCTGTGTCACGCCCACCATGTGAGTGATACGGGTCTGGCTCTCGAGCCTTTGGGTCTGGGGAGGTAATGGGAATAAACGTCATCTTTGTGCCTAGCTGTGTTTGGACAAGGACTTGAAGAAAGAACCTTCTTTCCTTGCCCTCGGCCTGTTGCTCCTTCTGTGGTGGGTGGAAACGTCCTTCTTTGCCCCATCCGAGTAGAGGGACACTTGCAGCCTTTCCTGGGGCTGGGAGACCACGAGAGAGAAGAGACAAGTTCTTCTGAGTTCTTGGGCAAAGAAGCTGAGCCAGCAGCATTTCCAAAATAAGCCACATATTTACAAAAGGGACATTTGTTAGGGTTTCTACTGCTGTGATTACTACTTGGAGCCAACAGGAGAAAGTACTGAGAAAAGTGTGCTCAAATAAAATGCCCCTTTGTTCTTCGAGAGGCCAAAACTGGGCACTGAGGAGCTGGGCTTATCCTTTGGCTGCCAAGACCTGAGAGGCCTCATGATTCAGACCTCAGCCCAGAATGTAGGCATCTGAGCACCTTGCGTCCCTCTCCAGGGAGCAGGCTCAGAAGCCATGAAACAAGATGGGCCACACATCTTTCTAGCATAGCCCCAGGTCAGCTCTCATGGGCTCTAGAACAGTATTGAGATTTCGCAGTTATGCTGTGAAGTTTTGTAGGAATAATGGTTTCTTCCAATGAGTTACAAAATGCTACTGAGAAGTATGATTTTAATGGCTTCAATGATTACTGGGTGGTTTTTGAGGAAGAGTATCAGTGTTCTACAGTCAGATGGCCGTCACTTCAAGGGGGAGCAGTAAGCAAGTCCAGGAACAGTTAATTGCATTCTGGGGATAACCTGGTCCCTTTGTCCCCAGCATCAAGCAGAGTGTCCAGCACATAGGTGCTCAGCAAGTGTCTGTTGAATATAAATAAATAATAGCATGTCTGATGTGCAGGGTGATTTGAAAATACTGAAGTCCTGAGAAAACCAGCCCAGAGAGGTACTGAGCAGTGGCCTAGCACTTTACCTCGTGGTGATTTAGCTTCCAGGGTGCCTTGCCACAGGGCTGGCTGGGGCACAGTGACTACCAGGCTGTTATGAATCACCCAGTCATGAGCATGGGGAATGGATAGGGCATGATGCTCAAAAGCCTGAATTTCTGTTTGTTTTAGGCTGCACCTGGCTGCGAGACCCAGGGGAGGGACGGAAAAGACCTTACTTGGGCTGAACAGGTCCAGCCATATTGACTCAGTCTGGGAGAGGGACTGAGCGGCTCTGGGCTTGGTCTCTTTCTGGATCTGGGGTGCTTAGCAGCACTTACAGGTTCCTTGTTCTTCCCTGTGGTCACCTGACCATACAGGATCCCTCCCTGCTGCTCGCCCTTCACACTGATGCAACTCATTAGTCTCGGTGCATCCTGGCCCACAGACTATGCTGGAGAGACAGACCCTGTGGTCAGTCAGGGCCCCCAAGCTGAGCAGGCACATCGCTATGGCCACTCAGGCCATGGACAAGATGAGTGGAAGGGAAACCAGGCTGAGGGCAAAGAAACTGGATAACTGCAGCAGGGCAGAGAAGAGCGAGGCTGAGAGTCCGCCTGGGCTCTTGGGAACTTGGATGAGGATCTTCAGTGCTAAAGACTTGTGCCCCACAGGGCTAACCCCCGTCATGGGACTCCAAGCAGTCAGGGCCCTAACGGCAGTCTCACTGACCTAGACTCTTGCTTGGAGCCCTGACAGCCTTTTGTCTTAGGCTGTTTGAGGTGCTGTAACTATCAAAAACCAGTTAGCTTGCAAACAATAGACACATTTCTCGTGGTTCTGGAGGCTGGAAGTTCAGAATCAAAGTGCCAGCAGAGCCAGTGTCTGGCGCACACCCATTTCCTGGTCCATAGGTGGTGCTTTCACTAGATCCTCATGTAGTGGAAAGGGTGAGCACTCGGAAGTCTCTTTTAAAGGCCTTAATCCTATTTGTGAGTGCTGTGCCCTGCTGACCTAATCACTGCCCAGACGTTCTGCCTCCCAATTCCATCCTGTTTGGGGGTTGGGTTTCAACATGAATTTTGGGGCACATAAACATCCAGATAGTAGCACCTTGGAGTTGGAGAGTGTGCAAACATGGCCTTGATGATGGAGCAGCCTGCCATGCCACTCCAAAGGGGACAAGGAACTTGTATGCATCCATGATGTGCTGCCTGGTGTCCTGTGTGTGTGTGTGTGTGTGTGTGTGTGTCTTGGGGGTGGTGGTGGAGGAGAAACAGACACAGATGGGTTCATAGGGTCCATGGAGCTCTGTGCCCGGGTCAGCTGTGCCTGGGTGTGCCTGACCCTGTAAAGTGGGGTATCAGTGAAACCTTCCTTTTGGGGCCACCAGAGGGAGTCAGTGAGTTAATACAGGTGGCACTCAGAATAGTGCCCTGCATGTGGCAGCCAAAGTAATATGAAAATCAGCTATTATGAGTGCGTTTGTACACCACAGGCACTCTATGTCTTCATACTCGACTTTGAAGTTCCTGAACCTTGAAATTTCCATGTTCTCATCAGACACAGGGATTTGCCCCAGGATACTCAGAATTCTGGAGGCAATTAACACCTGGTCTGGTGTTAAGAGCTACATTCTCTTCTCAGAGTCCATAAATCAAGCCAGGAGACAAACGAATTTGGAAGGATTTTGGAAATAGGTCACAGGCAAAGAGGTGGGTGTTAATGTTTAGTAGATGTGGAGAACTTTTGCAAAATTGCACAAAGCAATACATTAGTAAATAGTTGGCCCAGAATACAGGAAGACAACTTACAGAAGAACCAATCCAATGATCAGTATTCCAGCCTTCTGTCACTGTGACAAGTACCTGAGATAAAGGAAGAAAGATTTATTTGGGCTCATAGTTTCAGAGGTTTCAGTCCATGGTCATCTGGCTCCATTAATTTTAGACCCGTTGCAAGGCAGAAACATCATGGTTGAGAGGGCATGATGAGGAAAGCTACTCACTCTGTGGCAGCAAGGAAGCAGAGAGAAAAAGAGCTAGGGAGGAAGGAGCCACAGGCCAGATACACCCTCCTAGGTTGTCCCCAGTGACTACTTTCAACTAGGTCCTGTCTTCTAACATCACATCAACTGTGAATTCGTCAGGGATGAGATCAGCATCTCCATGGTCCAGTCACCTAAGTTTCACTTCTGAACGTATGAGCCTTGTGGGAGTGGGGAATTTGATACAAACCTAACAACCAGTAAATATTTAGACATTTAAAATCACAAGCACTTGGTAAAATGTTAATTATGCTAACAAGATATCACTAGAGGGACAGACATTTTGTGTGATGAAAGCATTGTTGATGGGGAAGAGGAGAAAAAGGAAGATGTAACAATTATATATGCACCCAGCATCTCTGCAGCTTCATAAAGAAAGCAAACATTGATAGATCTGAAGGGAGAAATGGCAATGCAGTAATAGGAGACTTCAGTACCCCTACAGCAATGGCTAGATTGTCCAGACAGAAAATAAGGAAGCAGTGGACTTGAACAACACTACGAACCAAATGAACCTAGCAGACATGCAGAGCATTCTGCCTGAAGGCATTTTTCTTCCATGCTTGAAGGAAGTGTGCTTGGTT